AATGCCCCCTATACAACATCCTCGATACGTTGCAAGCGTTATTGAGACAATGCTCTGTGCTGTTGTGATTGCATCATGTAGGAGCTAAATGAATTTGAACATAGGCAAATTATCGAGACTCGTATGGTGGTGCTTCCAATAACCAAGGTAGATGAAATGTTTGGTGTTTCGAGGGGTGCCGTATTCAAGATTTTTAACTTATACAGGAAAACCAGAAAAAATGCATACATTAAATCACAGCGCAGACGAAAATGTGTGTTAAGTGATCATGATAGACAATCACTGAAGAGGATTGTAATGAAAAATGAAGGGACAAAAGACACACACATACAAAAAAAAAAAAAAAAAAAAAAAAAAAAAAAAAGACTGCTGTACTGATGTCACATTCGCAAATCCTGTTAGCAACAAAACAACATGAAGAAAGCTCCACAAACAGGTATTCTGGGGCAAGCTGCATTTAAAAGGCCACTCATCAGTGATTAAAATGTCTATAAGAGAAGAAAATGGTATCAAAGTCATGAGACCTGGATTGTGGAGCAATGGAGGAGTCACGAGTCACTTGGTCAGATGAGACATAAAACATTTAGTTACAAATCCGTACAAGATTCAATGCTTTGCTAACAAGATGCTCGATATGATTGATGTTGGCCGAATATAGTTTACAGATGAGGCCTATTTTCATCTGGATGGTGTCGTTAACAGACACAACTTGCAATTTTTTGGTACCAAAAACCCACCAAAAAAATTAGTCGCAACTCAGCAAGTGCTGGATGATCAACCAGACAGCAAAATGGGGCTCGCTCATATCGTACACAACAGGTTTCTGACCTTCTGGACGAATACTTCGATGACAGAGTTACAATATTGAACTATTCAACAGTTGAGGGGAAGGGAATTGAATGACCTCCTTTTTCTCCTGACCCACCTCCCACGACTAGTTTCTGTGGGGCACACTGAAGGACATTGCTTACCATAACAATCCTATGCACAAAAGAACTCAGATAAGCCAGGATTTCTCCAAAAAGCAGCTGGAGCAGTTATCTAGATCTTCAAATCTAAACACTACATGGCATGGCATGGCATGAGATACTCATAAGCGAGCATTCAGCGATACATTCTGTGTCTTAATAACACGATTTAAGACACAGAAACTCTACCTAAAACCATCCACATGTTAAAATTTGCTCTTGAAGAAATAGGAGCATTATATAGCCACATGCATTTCTCAACAATCTTGCCAATAGTATAAAAGCTTGCTATGACTGTGATAATATGATTCACACTGAATATCTCCCTGTTAACATCATTTTTTAGGATATCTGCTGTAGTTGTCCCAAAAGTTCCGGAAAAGTATATTGTACAAATAGATACACAGTCTACTTTCAAACGTGGGACTGATGGCCAGTTCATAAGCCAAAGCTTTTCATTTTTCCTATAATAAAATTATTATTATGATAGTTTACATTTGAAATACCAATTTTATCACTTTCAAACAAGTAAAAGAGCTTTGGTTATAAACATGCCTCTCAAGCCTGCACTTTCTGCATTCAAAATATCAAATATACATTACAAAATTAGAGATCTGGACGTCTAATATCTGAAATGATCTAAAATCCGGACCTCAAAACCGGCAACAACTTTTTTTTTTTTTTATATAAATGCTTTATGCATGAACATTTAATCTCCCCCCCCCCATAGATAAAACATGTGGAGAGTCCCAATTCTTAATTTCCTTTCGGCACTCAATAAATACCTCGTTATTGAAGAAACAATAATTTAGCATAACTATGTGTGATCAATAACTTGGCTCCGTAGCTGCCATCTCAAACTGAAACATTCTATATATAGAAATGACGTTGATTTTTTTCCTACTAGTATTTTATATCCCCTACGCCAACCTGGCGAATCATTTATTATATTTTGCTTTCATCAACACATGTTTATCAACACATGACAACTTGAGTAATAACTCATGCAGCAAATGCCCAATTTTTTTTATACTACTAATTAGCTTTTTATACTAGTATAATTTTTTTATATTAGTAAAAAGATTATGGTAACCTTTTATGTTGACATTATTACACTTGGCAATGATTACAGATTTAAGTTAAATGTACTGAGAAATATTGACGAGGAAAAATTTAACAGAAGTTTCTTTCCATATGCTATAAATAGATTTTGCTAATGATACTTATAGGCCAAAAGATTACATTTAGTGGTATTTGAGTTAAGAATAATTTGTTTTCACGTAAACTCAGAACCGGTGCCAGAGCTCATATGGCTGTCCCGAGCAGCAGATTTTACCAAAGACAAGATTTTCGAGTTTAAGAGAAGCACCGAGCAACAAAATTAAAGGACAAAAATATTTTTAGAATTTAGGAAAAGCATTGTAATCCAAAAATTTAGGGGATGCAAAAATTTAGAACTTAGGCACTTGTTAACAGAATTTAGGACCCACAGAGTCCTGAATAATTTATTTATTCAGAAAAGAATCATTTCATAATGAAGCTTGGCAGAATTCGGTTGGTTTACCTGAAGACAAAAGTTGTCCTGACTGTAGACAACTGTTCGCCTCATACTTAAAATTTTAGTGAAAGATAATGTGTCCATATTATTCTTTCCTGCAAACTGCACGTCAATCATTCAGCCTATGGATATAGGAATAGTGCGAGTGCTGAAGTGCAAATATAAAGTAGAATTTTTTTCTTAAAAAGCTAAATTTCTTGAATAATGGGCAAGACTATTCCTATATTTGAAATATTTTATCACAAAATCTGCTCTGTGGAGCATCACAAGATTGTGGGAGGATGTGTCTTTAGCTACTTTAAAAATGCTTGGCATAATTTATGGCCAGCGAGCAGCATATTTGATGATGAGGTTGATGAATACGATAGCCGGGAATGTGAAGGTTTTCGGATATCACAAACCAAAGGTTAACTTTTCTAAATTAGTAGAATTTTTTAAAAAAAGTTTTGAAGCGGTAATAAATGATGATAAAACAGAAGTTTATCATTGCGATGACGTTGCACCAATTATCAATCAATTAATGAAAGCGAAATCTGTAGTATGGTTCTAGATCCAGAAAATATTGCTACCGATAGTGAAGAGAGTGGCAGAAAGGTTATTGAAAACGAAAAAATTTCAATTGACAAGTTAGCCGGAATTCTTGACACAGCAATTACAGGACTTGAACAATGGAACTTTGTAATTGAATAAGAAATTATGTCTGTCTATAGAATTAAAGAGAAAATAGCACAAAAAAGAAACAAACAACTTATATTGAAAAAAATTTTTAATAAAGTAAAAAAATACCAAGTTTTTTTTCTTTTTTTTTTTTTTAAATTTTGTTACCCTTTAGATCACAAATTCTTCATTATTTCATAAATCATGATTTAATATTTTTAATTTTATCATTTCTACATGCCATCCTACAAGAATTAAACTGATGATCTAATATCCGGAAAAATTCCAAATCCAATCCGAAATCACTGAAGTCCTGACTTTGTACTGTAATTACTTGATATCCCCCTGCCAATACCTAATTCTGAAGACACCAGCAATTTAGATCCAATAATAAAGTTTTCAATTCATATATGTTGAATGTATATTATTTTGTTAATATGTATGCAGAATGATTTACTTGTTGCTATGCTCATTTTGATAACATCTATACTACGTAAATAAATTCCAGATCAGATCTTATTCAGTTACAAAGTTCCATCGTTCAAGTCCTGTAATTGCTGTGTTGAGAATTCTGACTAAATTGTCAATCAAATTTTTTTTGAAAGAAAAAACAAATCAAAAAAGCATATTTCTGACAGGTTTTTAGAAAAAATGAGACAAATGCCGAAAGTTGGATTATTTTCTAGGATATCTCAAGAAGTTACATTTTTAAAAGTTGGATATTTTTTAAACAAAATTTAGCCCTTATTCTCAAAGTGTTACCTCTTCTTGGAGTCCTTGAAAGTGTTTTTAAATGGAATGTTACAAATCAAATTATTTCAGAAATAACACCAATATAAAAAACATGCAAATGCTAACTTTTTTATTAGCATAAGCACTTTTATGTAGTCATGAGATTTCCTAGCATTCTGCATAATATTGTTTTAAATATTTTTTTTTCCTTTTCTTTCCCATACTTGCCAAGCTATGACATTCAAAAACAGTTTTTTTAAAGAAATCAGGTGAATTTTCTCAATGACAATAAGATTTTTTAAATAAAAAAATATGCTTTCTATCTTATACAGAAAGAGAATATAATTTTTAATTATGAATTAACTTTAAATAGTGACTAATTAATATCTGAAAGTTCAGTTGCTAACAAAATAGTTACTACATAGTACAAAATTACTAATATGTAAAAATGCTTTTATTATTTGTACCTTTAAACAGAAAAATTATATTTTAATCAGTTTTCATACAAATGCTAAGAACAGTGAAAAGAAGAAAAAAATCGCAATTTTGCTTTAAGAAAAAAATCGCATAATATTTTCATAATTGCCATGCAGGCCTGCTATTGCCAATACACATTTTCTAATGTATTATTACTAATATTGGACTAAAGTTAGTCCTTGTTGCAGTAAGAACACTGAAATTCATCTTACAGCCTGCATTGATATGGGGAATTTCCAGGATTGCCGACATAATTCTAGATATTTCACTCTAAAATTCCATCAGCACCTTTCAGTTTTCCAAATAAACTCCACTAGGTGTCAATCCTTGCTAGTTTTATAACTTTTAAGTTTTTTAATTGTAAACTGCAATTTATCACTTGCAGCATCAATATCTTTATATCTTATCATCTTATTTATATTTAGATTAATTTTAAACATGTTTTATAAATTAAATAACAGAAAGTATAGAAAATGTTGATAAATACTAAAATTTGAAAAAGTAATTTTTTTTATAGTAATACAATAAAGCTAAATAAAAGACTGACTTCAATCCCCCTGGTTGAGAACCTCTGTAATAGAAAGTAATAATAATAATAAAAGTCAAGATGTAAAGAAGTAATGTTTATTTAAATCTAGGATTTTCAGTCTTCCAAAACTGTTTTTATACTAATGAAAGTTATTAGTGTTTGCCTCCATTATAATGAAACCCATTTTCATGCAACAGTAATATAAATGGGAAGGCAACAATAACACGGAAATAACGAAGCATGACAAATATATACAATCTGAAAATATCTAATAATGGAAATATTTTTCCTTCACTATTTTGCTAATTCGATTAACAAAACTTGGTGACTTCAGTTCATATACATAACATATACTACACACATTAATGTTAAAAAGAGAACATTGGATTTCATTATAATGGTAGCTGCAAAACCTGGAAGAGCATGAAGCATTATAATACAGAAAGAAACAACTTGCACAACACTATAAAATATGCCTATAATAGTTCATTAATTCTGTCTATCATAATTCAGTTCTTAAATTTAAAAATTAATATATGTATTCCTCTTCCAAATCATTAAAAATAAATGTTGTGCATAAATTTATCACTTATTTTGCTTCACTGAAATGAGGGAATGAATAAAAAATCTCACAGGTTTAGTATATGAAATACTTAGTAAATACCTCAAAAACTTCACACATACATGCAATAAAATTCACTGCAGTTTTGTTTTTGACACTAATATACAAAATAAATAAGCATAATTTAATAGCAAATAAAACCTTATTTATTATGATAAAACACTATTTGGTAATTACTAACATAATTCTTAACTTGGCAACATGGAATAAATATAAGATTGGACCAATAACAGTTTCTTGCCAGTATAACTACAATGACAATAACTATACATTTAAACATCCCACTTCATTTTGTACAAAGAGACACACAACTGCACTTTATACAGGACACAAAAAGTTCTCGAGGAAACTTCTAAAAGATCATTTTTAACTGCAGTTTTTCCCGATTTTGCATACAGAGTCAGCTTTCTGCATGCATTTAGTACGGAACTAGTTAATTTCTGAAGAAAATAAAATGTCACTTTTGCAGTAAATTGCAAAAACAATCACCCTCAAAGAAATAAAGTGCAAAGGAAACTCTTCTACATCATTTACTAGAATGTAGCTTTTTATTCAGTTTCCATTTTATCATGTATCAGTTCAAGAGATGAAACTAAATTAATACTTAAATATTCTTTAGATCTTTAGATTTAGAAATATGCAATACATCTAAACTAAAAGCTTGCTAAGAGTTAAAACTATAAGAAACGGAAATTGCATTTAAAAAAAATGCAATAAAATTCATTTTAAAGATGAATTTTTTATAGCTAATTTTCAAAATCTTTACAATACAAAAATTTTATAAATTTCTCTCTTGTACCTATGCATGGATAAGTTAAATCAATTCAATTAAAAACAGTTTTTCTATTAAAAAAATAAAATTACGACAGTGGTCCCGACATAATTAGATCAAAGGAAATAAAGCACAGCTGACTCGTAGATTTGTATTAAGAATTGCAAAATATGGTGCAACCTCTATATTATGCTATACAAATTTGTTGGCAAAAACTATAATAATAAAATTTTAAATTTAGGTATCTAAAAGAATAAAGAGGAAAGTTTTTTACATTCTAATTGCTGAATTATTAAAAAGGCACAAAATTTACTTAAATATTTAAACATGATAGCTACAAAGATATACAAAAGTAGATTACAAAAATCAACAAATAGTTTTAAACTTTTGGAATTTACAGTACTGATAACACAATTGGTAATTTTTCTGCACAATACAATTTTATTGACATACCGTATTAAAAAAAAATAAAGTATGTAACTGACAAAATATCACTCCAGATTTTGCAATCATATTTATACAACAGTGTAGAAAAGTGAAAAGTTTTTGAAGAAAGTCCTACAGATAGAATTGAGGGAAAATAACATAAATCTAACTGGGAGAATGAGTGCAGACTCATCTAAATTTTATAATAATTGTTCGGCAGAAGTTTCTCCTGATCACAAATCTATTGTGCCATGCGAGATGTTCCATTTTTCCCATTCAATCTGAAAAAACTATAGCTGCAATGACGGTATCAAGAATATTTGTTGAGACCGCCAGTGCTACGAAACTGCAGCTGCGGCACATAAAATTATCAAATCAATAGTCCTCAAGAATGCTTGATACCTTAAAAAAAAAAAAAAAAAAAAAAAGATTAAATTTAGTACATAATAAATTAAAAAAAAATAAAAACTTGTAATTCATAAAAAAAGATTTAAAAAAAAACTGAACTTTAACAAATTCCCTCCTAACTTTTTTTACTACAAAATTTTTAGTTTCTTTTTCAATGAAAATGAATATTTAATTAACATGATTTTTTTTGAAATTACTAAACAATGCTGTAAGAAAAATGACGCGACATAACCTATAATCAAAAAGTGGAATCTGAAAAACTGAACAATTTTCACAATTCAAAATATGCCACCTGATATAATCAAAAATTGTTTTATCACTATGTTTAGAATGAAAGGTTAAAATATTATTAAGCTAAGACAGTATGAAAGCCATCTTGCAGAGAAAATGAGTTAATTAGAAAAATCAAAAAAGCTTTTTTTTCTTATTGTAATAAGTAATAAGGCCAAACACAGACAATTCAAAACAAATGAAATTTTATTGAAATTATATAAAATTTTAGTAACATTTTTCTATGAAGTTAAAGCCAGATATTTTAAAAATAAGCTGAGCTAGCTCAAAAACATCAACATACACAAGAAACAAAACTAAAAAATGTCATAAAACCACTAGAATTATGATAATTGAAAAATAAAAGGTTAAACCCGAACATGTTAAAATAAACACAAAACAGTGAGATCTGTTATATTTCTTTAAAAATATTATTCTTCAAAAGTGTCAACATGTTAATAAATATGCACTGTAAATTTTATATTAATTTTAAGAATTAGAAAACATGCTAAAATTTTGCTGATATGGAAACATTTAATGTACACTGTTCTCAGTTTTTTAATTTATAATTTCTTTAAACTGATTAAATTCTTAGAAATCAAAATGATAGTTCACGAAACACTTTAAAATTTTTTTGCATCAGTTGCCAACAATGTACAGTGGAACTTCATTTAAAGCCAGCAGCCTTAGGACCATTTTTATCGATAAGAGATGAGACAGTTAATTGACTAATAAAAACCTCCTCTCCTCACTGTCAGATAAAGGCAATCGATAACAAAGGTCCACTTTTGATGCAGCCATCTTATATAATAAGACAGATAAAAATTTTAAATAATCTATTTCAGTTTAACTTGTTTACTAATCATGTACAGAAAAAATATAATATTTATAAAATTAAGCTAAAACAGCCCCTAGCCACAATGCAAAAAGAATAAATACTTTTATTCTCTTTTCAATTTTAAAATTATATAAAACTGAATAATGCCTGATGAAAAATCAAATGACACACACAGTTGCAACTTGCTTTGGCGAAGATTCCGGTCATATCCCATTCAATTACCACAGTTATTTGTTAATATTTACTTATTTAGTAAAAGATGTACTATCATTGATGATCTGATTAACAAAGAGTTCATAGATACATTTAATGCTCAGCAATTCTAACTGATGATTTTCTAGATGTTAAATTGACATATTGAGTTTCTGTTGTGTGTATTTTCATTAAGAACTGTGACAGTATTCCTACCTGAAATATTTGTTGGAGGACATCCAATTTATCTGATCTTAAAATTTTCCATATGAATTAAGCTGAAGTATTGGTAAGTATATACCCAAATCTTTTGAAAATGAACAGACACCTAAACTTGGTTATAAAAGGATTGCCACTCAAAGAGGAGAATGAAATTCTTTTACTTTTCCAGGTGTGTTTTGAGAAAATTCAGTCTATCTGCATAGTGTGTGTTGGCTGCGCTGAGAGGTAAATTAATTATGGTACCACTTGAAAACTCAAAAATTTGCCAATTGCTTATGACTTAATCTATATGTAATTCCAAAAGCATTACTATTATAGCTATAATAGGAGATTTTTTCTCTTTGAAGAGGATTAGAATCTGCCCAATCTGGTTAAAAAATGAGTTTTTTTTTTGCAGACATTTTGCAGCTAAATAAAAGAAGAACCTATTTAATGTATTTAAAAAAATAAATTCAGGTATTTTATATTTTTTAGCAGCATACATAAGCAAAATATGTGCATTCAAATTTGTGACTTATGTCATCATACTGCTAGATTTAGTTCAGAATTATACAGTTGCCTGAAATTTGAAAGTATTATTAACTAATAATAAATAAATTTAGAGGAAAGAAACATTTAAATGATATAAATAACATTAAAATGAAGTTAATTACTTCAAAATTGGATTACAATAATCAATGATATTTTGGAGAATATAGTCATATTAAATGTTAGCCTAGATGGTTGATTACTATTTTTTATTTTACTGCAAAATGAAAAATTAGGCATTTATTAAAATGAAAAAAAAAAAAAAAAAAAAGGTTTAAAAGATTTTGCAGTAAAATCCTAGTCTTTGCTATGGCCTTTGTACAATTTTGAAAACTGCCACAAACACCAAACTGACCGGTTTACTGCCCAACACCTTTTTAACAGAGACTAAGAGACAGAGAGAGGTAACTGTTGTTGCTGCTCATCATAATGTCGCCAAATCCCATGTGTACCGTACATGGAGGTTATAATAAAAAATATGTATTGTTAAGATAAAAAAAACTTCCCTGCAACAAGAGTGGCTCCATCCCAACGCAGAGGGAAACAGCTATGTATGCGCAAAATATCTGTCATCGAAGCTCGCGAAATTTGAAGGCCAAGTTTATCAAGAGTACATAAAACGAATATAGTTTTAAATTTCTGTAAACTTTAAAGGAAAAGAAAATATTTTTTCACATGAGTAAATTAATTAATAGATTAGTTATTTTGAGCAAAAAGAGTACGAAAATCCAAGTATAAATTATCACGAAAGTCAATGTTTCTTGTTCACATATGCTCCACAATTTCCCATACACATCGCGAAGGGGGAAATTCTCGTCGTCAGGTTCCGTCGCCAAATCTCTTGGCGAGCTCTTCCTTCCACTTTCTAGCGGCACTATAGCAAACTGATTTACATTACATCTATGAGCCTTTCTTTCTTTACATAGACGTTCTTACATTAGAACAGAGTACATAGGGGCTATTCTAGCCTCCATGGTACCGTATATTAGGATTTAACTGATTTGGTCATATACAAAAATGGGAATGTATTTTAGTTCAACATGCACTGCACATGCGAATGGGAATCTCGAGGTTACTGGAAACCAAACTTGCCGGAAACTTGCTTTGCCTTTCTAAAAGACAAATTTGATTGGAGCTGCGAAAATTGGCTCTACACCAGCTGCCAGAATGACGCTCATCCGATACATAATTCACCAACAAAGTGATCGCTTCCAAAGTTGGAGCAAAACTCACTTTTTGGGGGATCGCCGTGACATTTCCACACTTTTCCAGATTTTGACTAAAATATTTAAATTTTCTGACTTTTTCTAGTTTTCCATGTAGTGTGGCAACCCTGTTATAAACTTGTCATTAGCCAAGCCTTTTCTATTTGGAAATTGTTAAAATCATATGTCATCACACCAGACACTTCAGGTGTACATACTATACCAATCCACAATGAAGCTTTAAACACAGGATCTCAATACATCGGTTTGACATCTAGAAAAATACTAGTAAGAATTGCCAAACATAAAAAAGACATCTATAAACTCTCTGCCAACCAGTTCATTAATGAAACTAGCACATCTTGAGTTAAGTACTCCTCCAAACATCCACATAATACCTGAAACAAATAAAACCAAAATAATTGCCAAACACCGACAGCCACAGAATTACAGAACTGCTTGAAATTCCCACCAAACCATAATGCAACAGAGACCTTCCTTTCAACCTTCCATACATCTGAGCATCGACTTTGAATACAACTCTACATTAAGCAATAATGAAGACTAATTTTAGCAAATGATCCATTCCAGTTCCAGATGACGAAGAAGACGGGTTGCCAGCAAAAACTCCTACAGTTATACTTTGTTCAGCATGTCAACCTAGAACATTTTATAGCTATTAACCTCCTGTGATGAATGTTTTTAATGGAGGATTTTTTATGGCTAATTGGTTTGTATTTATGGGATGCATGAGTAAATCTACAAAAGACTATAATCTATTCAGCCAATGGGAATAAAATCAAGCAGGTAAGCAAGTCAAAATGAAATATGTTTTATATTTTACAATTTTCAAAAGGAGCTTCTGATAAACTATCCATATACACATAGAAATTAGTTTATTATTCTTTTTAGCATAGCTTCAGTTATTGCATGCACATTTAAGAATACAAAAACATAATACTGGCTGAATGTAAGGAAATATAATCACTCATATTTATAGAGCTTTTGTAAAACAGTTTAAATATTAAGCAATAATGAAACAAAAATCTGATGTGGTCTCCACATGACTTCCTTGTATGTCTTATTAAATTACACACATTTTTTAAAGCATTTCATTTAAACTTATTTCCTCAAATTTCATAAGAGATATGTTTCTCATTTAATTAATTTAGTTCTCACTTTGTGGCAAGGCAAAAATACACAAAAACTCAAAACATCTTCATTAAAAATTGTAAAATACAGAAAAACCTAAAACACGAAATACAGTTAAAAAGAGTTTAAAAAAAAAACAACTTTGTAACATTATAGTTTCCATGCAAGAACAAACAATTCAGCCAGTGGACAAGAAGGCAGATTTTTTGGTGCATAAAACGAAAAGTTTACATTTTGTCCTTTCTACAAAAGACAAACCAAGTATGCCGAACTGACTTAATTCACTATTCTGCTAAGAGTTTCACATGTTAACAAATCGCAACTTCGTTATGCTTAGTAGAGCATAACTTTAATAGAACTTAAATAACTTTGAATTGTTTCTAATCACTATGCATCACATTATTAAACAAGGGAAACCTACGAACCAGAATAAAATACCCATTCAATTACTTTTAATGCAAAAAATGAACAATTTAAAAACATATAGGAATAAAAAAACTCACCTTTTGCAATAAATTCAAGGTGGGTAAATATTGACCTCGAGGGCTGATTTATATAGAGAGTCTGTGTCTACGAAAACAGAAATCGTACTCACACAGTGTCTGCGGTGGCGGTTGCTATAGCACAGCTAGTATCATCAATAGGGCAAGCAAGGGTTGCTTTATTGTTATTTTGTTTTTGGAAACGATTGGTTGACGGCAAAAGAGTTTATCATTCGTCTTCAAGACACCCCTACGGAAAATGGGTCAAGGCTCGTTTCTATGACAACAGACTGCTGCAGACTAACTGGCGAGAGCTTTTCTTATGATAGACAGACTGTATAGGTGCAGCCGACTGCAATAAAAAATGGAGGTGCATAACTACATATGACAGCTGTCCCACATACACATTTTCAACATTCTGAAGCTATTCGTTTTTGAGTTATGCGAGACACATACATACGTACAGAAGTCCTAAAAAAATCTCTTCTGAATCCATTTTCCAAACCGTTTTGAGAAAAAGAGTCCTTTATTCTGTCCGTACATACAGATGTCATGAAAAACATCTTTCAAATGGGTTCGAGAGTGGTCAAAACGGATATATTTGTTGAAATATGATACCATAAATTTTCGCGATTACAATACTTCCTTTACTTCATACAAAGAATTTTAAAATGCATAACGAAAAACAATTACAAGGCAATGAATTACATTCAACAGTTACCTTATGCCAAACACTAGAAGACAGTTAACACGCACATCCATCTTTGTTGAGTTGCTGATCATTGCTGAGATTATTTCTTGGAGCTGTTGGTTTATGCTGAACTCCAGATTCAGCAGCATTTAGATCCAAGCTTTTAAGAAGAAAAAAATTTTGAAATAAACAACAATTTCAAAGTCAAAATTTAATAGCATTCATTACTAAACTCACATTAGTATAATTCACAATATAATACACGGCGTTGATGTACTGAAGTTAAAGAAAGTTATGAGTCATCTTTTAATTTACTCTTAACATACTGATTTACTGACCAGGCAAAATTACATTATGACAAACATTAACCGCTTGCCTAATTATTCCGAGTTATCTCGGGTTTGTATACATTGCAGTTAATTATTATCCCAAGAAAACTCGGGCGCAGCAGAATTTGTCAGTACAATTTGTTTTATCACGGTTTTACTCAGCCTGGAGAAAAATGAAACGAAATATTCAGCTTTGATTGGCAGTTTGCCAAGTTTTGTTGGTTTCGCGGTTCTTATGGTGGGACTGGTCATGTGTTTCCCTACTGTAAATTGTACATCGGCTTGTGGATTAGTAATGTATAAAGGATAGTTTCATAGAAAAAGAGTAAAATAATGGGGATAATGCAAGATAGTGAAACCGACAATTCTTCAGATAGTATGAAGAGGTGGACATTTTCCAGATGTTATTCCTGCTACTGAAAAAAATTAAATCCAACGATATAGTGTACTGTGTGCTCCAGTAAAAGAGATTCCAAAGATAAGCCACAAAAAAAGGGAGGGTCCTATATCAGTGTACAGAATGTCAGGTATCACTTTGTGTTCTCCCTTGTTTCAAAAACTATCATACAAAGACTAATATTTAACTTGCTTTTTCATTTGCCAGAGATAACTCAGGATATACATTAATATTAAACTAAATACTTTACCCTGTAAAAAATTAAAATTCCAACTAAAACCTCATATTTTGTTTGGTTTTGTTTCGTTTCCTTGTATTTAATAATAAAATAAAAAAAAGGTGATGATCTTTTGCAATTTTTTTAAAAAACATTTGTAAGAGAAGTGGTTAAATTATGATAGTCATTTCAAAATGACTTAGATTTTTCTTTCTTTTTTTGAGAGACATTTATCTTGAAAAAAAATTACAAATTTTAAATATAATTACATCCAACAACACATTAATTTTGATTTCAATTAATATGCTTTTTACACCATACTATACTCATTTTCCCTTGACAATTAGAGATAAGCATGAGAGCTGCAATGACTTGTCTTATAGCATTAACCAATGCATAAATCTTCTTCGCATATATTGCACACAAACACAAAAATTTTCTTTATTGGTAATATGCTGATTGTATTAAAACTTATAAATTATTTTTCCTTTTCATTTCCTCCCAACTTCTTTAAAAACTTTCTGAAAATCAATCACTCAAGAGTGAAAAACACTAATTGTCTTGACAATTAGAATCTGTGATAAATTTTCTAGTCCTTCCATTTGGATAACCTCATGGCTTTTAACAGCACCAATTACATACTCTGTTTCAGCAATCAAAGTTTAATTAAAGTCATTAGAATTTGTATTTAAGCAAACAACTTCTGAAAATTATCAAAATTTTCCTCCAGAAACATATTTTATTAAAACATAGATGCACTAAAGAAGAAAATTGCAACTGAAAGGATTAAGAACAGAAATAATAAGAAAATTATATATAAATATAGATCTGTCAAGATGAATGCAATCAAAATATATACATCGATAAATTGATATATTTGATACAGATTTCTCCTGGGAAAAACTCAATTTTATCAATAAATTCGAAACTTCAGATGGACAGAAAATTTTTGACATATTTAAGGTGATACTGTTAATGTTGATAACAGAGGACTACTTTTTAATTGTTACCAGGCAAACTGTTTTCGAAATGAAGAGATGAAACATGTGGCATAGAACTGCATATGAACACACAGGGAATAGAAAAATACTCCTCTTGTAAGAAGAAAATCAACAAAATATGCCACTTTAGAGGTTCCTATGCATTAAAAAAACAGATAACAAACGAATGCAAGAAATTAATTTCTTTACATAATGGATGCAAAATTTGGACCACCTCCCACCAAAAAATTTCAACAACAAAAAACATTACTCTGATAAACAGCATGTCTTCAGTTCTGGAAAGCATAGTGGAAAATTTAACAACTTTAAAAAATGAATTCCTTTCTAATTACCTTAGTTTCAGAGCCTATGGATCAAAGGGCAGTCTAGAACTTCAAATATCATCAAGTAAACTTTATCAATCAATTGAAAAATCCATTCAATAATTTCCAGATATTGATGAAAATCACAAGTCACCTCTTTCCTTACTGATACAGATGAAGGAAGAGAAAGATTTTTTTCAAATGTTCATAAAAATATGAATAATCCAGAAAACTTCCACTATGCAGATTATATTGTAAACAACAAAAGATTCAATATATCAGATTTATTCAAACATGATTTTGCCCAATACTCTCTAAATTCTCCACAAATCAGGGCTCACATTCTTTTTTATGATAGTAACGAGAAAGGATAACTAAATGCATATCTGCCCCCCCCCCAAAAATTGAAAGGATCTAGATTTTAAGGTAATAACAATTCAAAATTTTTCATGCTCTTGCTGAGCTTGCAGTTTACGAATCTGCTCTTGGACTCACTTCTGTTAATACACTTTTTTCTGTCTTTTTAGTTTTATTGAAGATCACTTTCTTCGCACTTGTGTCACATGAAATTCAACAGTAAAGTAACAAAATTTAAATTTTTAACAGTAGCATGTGTTTAATATTTGTTACATTATTTCTTTAAAAATAAGACTCGGCAATAGTATTCACTGACAGCTTCTTCTCATTTTTGTTGACATACATTCCCCCCCCATATTTGCTGCATATGTTGTACATTAACTAACACTCTAAAAAATGGGATAAAATAGGGTTTGAAACTTTGACTAAAATTATTTACATTAATTACTTTACTCAAAGGACTGATTTCTGTCTATTTCAACTTAAGCTATAAATAAATCATTTACAATTCTTTTTATTTTTAAGAGATTAAATGAAATTTCTAACAACAAATTATTTTAGTTTACAAAATTTGAATGTAATAATCTAAGCATAAACTTACAATAATAATTTAATTATTGGTACTTACGTGTTATCGCAACCAGGTTGGCGCGATTTGTATGTTTGAGTAAAAAAGTATAAATAGAAAGAAAATGTACATTTATTAATTACGATAATTTTTAATCCAGTTTTTTATATTATTTTGTTTAAAATATAAAATCAATTAAACCCTTCTGGTTTCGAATTTGACTAAGTTGCAGAAATTTTTTTTCGTGGAAATTCTTTGGCTATTGCTTTAGCAATGATTGAAAACCATCTTCGCCATTAAATTTGAGTTGGCGCCATCAATTCGATAGGTATGGGTCAATATGATGACGGGCTGTTCCTCTCGTTTTTTGTTGCGCCATTGGCTGAGCCCACTCGCTCTAAATGTTGTGTGTGAATCCCGTGTTGGGATCCACAAGTTATATTTGTGATTAACAGTTCCATGCAGAAATCCCAGCATTTCGAACTCACTTGTATTGTATCCTTTCCAGCACCCGAATAAATGATGCTTCCTTCCTTATTTTCGCAATTTTTTCCATGAGGGGTAACGGCGCTTAGGCTAGGTACAGTAACCAAAAAGTCTCTTTTTTTCTCAGCAAATTCCGCCGAAAAAATAATAAAGTGTTACTTTTAACAAAAAAAAACGGAGGATAAGAGGGCCAATTTTGGCAATTTAAAATTTTGGCCTGGTTGCGTTAATACGTAAGTACCTAATTATTCAGTTACTTAAAGTTTTCATAGCATTAATCATTTCTTTAACTTTTAGCAGCATTTCGTACTATGAGCATTTCATATAAAGTCCCCTTTATACCAGTCCTTAAGAAAATCCCTGTAGTGCAAGTCAATTTTATACCTTTTTCAGCCAGCTACTAAAAATATATCTACATACAAAAATAATCTGGAAAAGGGTTTTACCCAATCAAAAATTCACCTCACAAGCTCACTTTAAATAAAAGATCCTCTATCATATTACAGTAAAAAGTCCAAAATCCGGACTGGTAGGGACTTCGGCAATTCCGTATAATAGAACATCAATTTAAATCTGGTAAGATTGCATGCAGAAATTATACAATTAAAAATATGAAATCTTAATTTCTGAAATAAAGAGCAATTATGATCCAAAGGGTATCAAAATTTACAAACAAAGCTTAATATTTATTTGTTTACTTTGTTAAACATTTCTTTCAATGTAAGTTGTTTAAGATGCTTCTACAAAAAAATTCAAAAAGTTCCTTTTCTTTTCTTGTTGTATTACAGTGGACTTTCCAATGCCATACTCCTCGCTATTTGAGACGGATATGCCTTATCCATTTTTTGGCAGCAATTCCTTTTTGTTTTAATTGGACATGAAAATGGTTTTGCTTTGTAGATCCTTTGGCACTCCAGAATTGAAAATAATTTCACATAATTGGAAAGTCAAGTTTAGTTTTTAAAATTGCCATAATATAACAGTCTGGAAAAATATAGCTGAATCCATTAAAAGTCAGGGAGCAGCGCGTCTCACATTAATTGAAATATTTAGAATAGTAAGATAATTTAGCCTAGCTAATAGTGCTGTTATTACGTATTGCTCTGTACACAAAATTGACGATTAAAGCCAATTTTTTGCTAATTTTGCTTGCCTCTAGGTACTGAATTAAGACTGAATTGTATTAGTTTAGTTATTTACTATACCTACATTTATTTCTTGTACATGCTTCAAACTAATCCGGGTCCTGAATAAAAAAAAAACTCCCAAATATACATTTAAGGCTTTACCTAGGGCCGGCGCTCGATACTGCCTGGTGCAGTCTCTAGAGGTCCTAAATTCTGCTACAAAGCGCTTTCCTAAGTTCTAAATTTTCACTGCACCTAAACTTTGGATCCCAGTGCTTTTCCTAAATCATAAAATTTTTCATCCCTTAATTTTGCCACTCAATGCTTCCCCAAATTCCAAACATTTTGTCTTCCCTAAAATTCTGCCGTTCGGTGCGGCCATATCCTGTTGCCACTTCTGGGTTTATGGTGAATAACATATCAGTTATTCTTAATTAAAATAAGACTAAATGTAATCTTTTGGCCCACGAGTTTCATTAACAAAATCCATTTTATCATATGAAAAACGTTGATTGAATTTTCCTCGTCAGCATTCTTGAACATTTAAAAAAATCGCTAAGCATTGCCAAGCATAATGTAGTATAAAAGGTTGCCATACTCTGTTTATCAATATAATACAAAAAGTTTAGAATCAGCATAAGTTTTTCTGAGCTGTCATGTTTTGATAACATTCAGTGATGAAAGCAAAATACGTACAAGTCTTAATCCGGACCTCAAAGCTCAAACTTTCGCCATGCATTTCGCATGTGCATAATAGTTACTAATGCCAGCTTAAGTATAACGGAGGTGTAGCTAGGCCAAAATATCTATTTCCTTATGTTGGCAGATTGCGTTGTTCCGTAATCTTCTATGGATCCGGCTTATTATTTTTTGCAGACTGTTAGATCAGTTTATAAAAAAGTAAGCTGGACTTTCGATTATGTCAAACGGTTTTCGATTCTGGAGCTTATAAAAGAAAGCATTTCGATGGCCATCAAACAAAAGTGAATTGCTGCTAAAAATGATGAAGTATGATCCTTTTGTTCTCTAACCATTCGAATCTGTTTATCAACTTACACTGCTCTTTGGAGGGGGGGGGTTCGGGTGCAATACTGGGGGTTGATCTTCAGCACATCCTCATCTCAGAGCAATGTTTTTTTTATTCGGTAATAATGCCTTAATAATGTATATTCGTCTCGAGGTATTCTGTCTTTGATATGATTTAAAATCAAATTCCTCATCATTAACTATCACAAATACCTCAAATAGTTTTCTGGTTGCAATTTTTTATTTCGACTATTGAATTTATGCTTTAGCATGTGTGCATTGAAAGAAGTTTATAAAGTAAACAAATAAACTAATCTTTTTTTTTTAAATTTGATACTCTTGATCATAATTGCTTTAATTTTCATAATTATGGTTTTTCAGATTTTAATTTTATAATATCTGCCTGCCCATCTTGACCGAGATTTAAATTAGATGATCTATAATTCGGAAAAACAACCTAATCGGACTCGTCAGAGTCCCAACAAAACCCCCCTCGGATTCCAGAATTTGTAACTGCGTAATAATTAATGAATCGCCAGTCGGCGTCAGGGTAAAAAAGGTGAATGTTTTTGTTTGAGATGTATGCCAAGTAAATACTCAGCTACTGAGCCAAATTATTAGTCTCATAAATTTACGCTTACATGATTGTTTTTCTGTAGCAAGGTATTTTATTTAGTGCCTAAGTGAAATTAAGAATTTTATTAAATTAAGAATTCGGAATTTTTAAGTGAAAATCTCCACATGTTTTATTATGGAAGGAAAAATCAAATGCACATGCGTAAAGCATTAATGAGAAAAAAAAAGTTTGTCTCTTTGAGGTCCGGATTTTATATCATTTCGGATAATGGACGTCCGGATTTCGGATTTTGTACTGTATTATATAACATCGGCCTGCCAAAGCTGTGTTATGTGAACCTACTGCCAACATAAGAGGCCACCATCACTATGGTGTATATTGTAATACATACCCTTCAATTTCATACTATAATTGATATTTTTTGTTGCTACTTACAAAGCACAGTGTAAAAAAAATTTTTTGATTGCAAGCAGATCCCAAAGAACAAGAAATTGTCTGATAACTGGCATTCTCCTTTTTTTTTTTTTTTTTAAATCTGATCTGACAAAATGATACCAAATATTCCTCGAGGTTCTTCTATGTAGTAGAGTCGACATGTTCTGCAACCTTGAAAAAATACATCAGATAGAAAAATTCAAGTTTATAAATATATTCTAATTCTAAAGAAGATTAAAAAGAATTCAAAGCTCTTGGCTGCAAGATGTTAGTAAAATAAGTACTTAAATAAAAATATAAGTTATTATTTTATATAAATATTATAATAATATTGTATGAAAAAGGTAAAACCTAATCTACACAGCTATACTATGACACAGTATTCGAAGAATAGAAAATGAAATTGAAAGGAAGAGCTTTGAGAAAGTGAAAAAGAGGAAATATTCAAAACTCTGCAGGAGCCCGATTTGCAGCTAATATAGGAGCGCCGGAATGGTAAAAAGAGTAAACAAAGATTCTGCAGGAATCAGATCTGCGGCTAGAGAAGGAACGATGAAAAGGGAGAAAAATCAATACACTAAAGTACCAAGATATGTGACTAGAGAAGCAGTGCCGGAGCGCTGACAGCTGCGAGTCCGAGAAGGAAACTGAACACCTATAATTTACGTACTTTAAACAGTTCCTCGCACTGCAAAATGGGAGAAAAACTCAATCGATTTGCAAATTGGGCTGATCAATTGGGTTTGCCGAGATGTTTTATTTAATGTTTTGTTTTTTAAATACTAGATGGAACACAAGTAAACCAAAAGCCCACATATTTACATATAACACACATAAAAAAGATCAGAAATGTTTCTGGTAAATAATAAAGAAAATAATGTTCGTGTTTACATCAGAGGAATCAAAATTTTGGCATGCTTCTCAACAAGAGCTCTTCATGAACTATTAAAAGAACTACTGCTTCATTTTTGATGGATCAGAGATCACTCGCTCAGTAAAGTTGAATCAGTTTCGGAGAGGATTGTCCATCTCTACTCCGGATGAACAAATGAAAAACAATCTATACCCTCAAGCTTTGCAATAAAAGGTGTGAAAAAATAATGATTATTTTCTACCTAATAAAATCTAGAGAATTAGACTAATTCAAAATTAGAAAAATTTTGCACAATTTACTATGAACCAAAATAAAAGAAAATAACTGTTTATTTTACCCACAAATAGTATGTAAATCTGCCTAAAAGGGGCAGTACATAGTGAGTGACATAGATAAACTTTGAATATGTACTGCCCTCTTAGGCAAATTTACAAACTGTTGGTAAAATAATCTCAAAGTAACGGATTTGACATGAAGTGGAAGACAAATTTATATCTAAAAAATGTTAATTTTTTTATATTTTAAATTGTAGAAATATATTTATAGTCATCGTTATGCAATGCATTGCTCAAATTAAACTTTAAATATGAATTTATCTTGAATTTTCTTTCTTTTCTTCTGGGACAGCATATGTAAGCAAAATTTGAAAATGGGCCACATGCTCAATGTAGAACTGAAAAGTTCCTGCGCAAATGCTTAGAAAACTGGAAAATTAAACTTTGTGTTACTTTTGTGCTTATTTATTTGTACACAGATTAGTATATAACAATAAAAAAGGGTTGTTTTTAATAAAGTGGTGGCAAAAAAAGATGATAAAACACACATCAAAATAGAAATGATTCACAGCCACAAAAGGGTACATACTGACGAAGACTCTGGAAATAATTTATTAAAATTCATTTTTACCAGAATTCACAAAACTACTAAAATAGTATCAGTATGCTACTACATTAATATCAGTATTCAGCTATCAATAATGGTCAGAATCAGAATTTGATTGACAGGAAACTAGATAAAAAGTAACACAAAGAATTAAAGAAAATATTAAATGAATGTACTCCAAAAAAATTTCATTTTGAAAATATCATTAATGAAACTTTAAAAACACTTAAGTTATAATCCATAAAATAGCTATTACATTAACTGCATAACAGATAATGTAACACCAAGTGAGATTTATTATTTATTTATAACTTAGTAAAAGACAGGTATATAAAAAAATAATGATGTAAATAAGTAATTCCTACCCATAATTTGACATACGCACTCAGAATAATCACAGGAAAATTGAAGATGCAAGTAACCAGACATAAATAAAATATCATTTGCATTATTACAAACATCAGGTTTCTATAATCACATTCCAACACCCAAATAATGTCTCATATAAATATATAGTTCTCCCCCTTCATAAATTTAATTCAAAATTTCAGCACAATTATTGGCTAAAGTTTCTAAAATGCAATTAAAAGATAAAAAATATTAAATTTGGGACACTAGGAAAATTAAAAACAAAAACTATACACATAAATAATCACCTTCCATCCTGAATGTTTTGGTATATTTTTTTGGCTGTTTCTAGGAATGCTTCTTCTACATTTTCGCCTCTAAAAATATATATAAAAAAAGTTACTTATCCTTATTTAAAATATTTCCTACCTATAAATAAAAAATTCTTAAAATCAAATACAGTTAAAACATAAAAAATTAAAACTGCTACATAATCTTATTTCATTTTAAAAATAAAACATAAAATAGCAACCGTCTGCGATTAAAAATCAGACAAATAATTTCACCTATTTTTCTAGTTTAGTATCACTTTTTAGCACCCTTTCATGCCTCAACAAATTTATTGTTAAGTTAAAACAGAAGAAAATACACAATCACACTTATTTTTGTGGTATATACTATTTGTGGTACTATCTATTTCCTAAAACAATATAAAATATTTTATTAAAAACAGAGTATTGAAGTTATATTAATGTAAATGACTCAAATGTCCTTCAAAATTAATTATCATATAATGATCAACAGTAACAAAAATAAATTATCTTCTGATATATCCCAACATTTTAAACTTTTAAGATGAGCTTTTAAAAAAATATATCTCATTCACTGCCTTAGCACCATATTCCACCCTTGCCTTTTATGGATTAAAATAGAAAATCTTGCATTTTTCTGCTGTCCAGTATGATAAACACAGTTTTGATTTCATTTAAAACATTCATATAGAACAACACACTATACACAGTATATGATTAGTATGATTGTTAGTAGTTAACTTTTGCAATTTGGCAGCAAACTACCTTTTCCAAATAGAATTTTATGTCATTAAATCTTTTCAATTTTTATTTTAATCAAAGAAACAAATAATAGTTGTATGGGACAGTAGCCAAAGAAGTATGGAAGATGAACTAGAATAGTCCAGTCAAATGTTAACAGTTTATTTTTAACTAAAGACATACAGCGTCTGGTATTTCGATGCTAGTAAACAACACCTCATCTCTATTTATATTAGCCATTTTTTACTGATTGCTTTATTTAATTTGTCTGCTTCAGGACAGTATTTTGTTGAATTAATGTTTTAACTTGTGGAAGTTCATAATAAATCCTGTCCTTGTAATTTGACAAAACTGACCAAAAAAAAAAAAAACTTTCAGCAGCTGAAGACTGGGATTTGCTGAGTACATTATTTCTAGATCAAGTGGATTATAATGTTCTCATAAGTTAATGCTCTTATAGAAGATTCCAGTTTTATTTCTCATTAGTTATTTTTTCAAAAATATTAGTTTCATCAAAGAAGCAAATCATACTGGAAGTAGGGCTACGAAGGTGTAAGTTTTTACCATATAAACTGCACAACTAACAACAATGGAGGTCTTTCTATTTTTGGAAAGTACATGAATAAAATTTTACTGTCTGCACTATGCTAGTAGCAGATTACAGATTATTTAGCTCAGAAAATAGCAAAATATAATTCATCAGTTTTATTTATTCATTGTGCATAGTAAGTTATTAAGCATAACAGAAAAAGAACACAATACTACTACTAATAATAATAATAATAACAACAGTACATTATATTTTAATGAACCACCTTCTTTAAATAAGAATAAATATTTATGTCTTTTGGTTGTTGAGATAATACAAATTAGTGTCCTTTTAATACACAAGTGAATTTTTAAGACTTTTGTCATACCTCTCTTTCTTTCAATTTATCAAATTGGATATAGTGAACCTCTGCATAAAAGTAACCAAATATTCAGCCTTTGAGAGCTTGCTATACCAAAGTTTGACTACATTTGCAGATCATCAAGTTTATCATTATCTTGATTGGATTTTTATTTGGATGTACAATTAAGTGAAATCTCATAGTTTGAAAGGAATGCATAACTGAGAATTCAAAATGCAATACCATGTATTAAAAAAAAAAAAAAAAAATCAATGCACAGCTTACACAGAAATATTATTTATATGTCCTGCCATAATTTATTATATACTTAGACAATTTAAAAGCCACTGTAATTTTACAATGATTCGTAATTAAATTCTTAATGAGGAACAATATAACTTACACTTAAGAATGTACGTTTCTTAGAAAATAACACTGCATACTCACGTTTTAGCACTAGCTTCAACAAACATTAATCCATTTTCATCTGCAAACTGCTTAGCTTCTTCATATGTAACATCACGTTGAGCATCGAGATCACATTTATTTCCAATTAGGAAAATGACCTACACAGGTACAGATTACAAAATACATTATTCAAATCAAAATTTTTTTAAAACTAAATTTCTGAAAAGATCTTTAAAAATTTTCTGTTTAAATGGGAATACAAAATAAGCACAGTTCAGAACATTTCTGAAATGTAGAGAAGCATAAAGATAAATGAAAGAAGAAGAAATGGAAGAGATAAATGAAAAAGCAAAACACTACATTTCTAATACATTTGCATTATGATACTAGTAAACTAACAAAATATTAGCGATATAATGGAATTATACCATAAAGGGGAATTTATAATGGGTGTCTTAAACTGTAATGTGAAGTTGTTCAAATAATATATATACAGCCAAGTTAAATCTAGAATGATGCCAGTGATTAAGATATGAATGAGAGCATTTTAATTATTAAGAATTTAAAATAATCTCTTAGAAATATATAACATTTGAAGGTACTGTAACTCATTTAAAACAGCAATTTTTGAAAGCTGAAAAAATTGGCACAAAAAATACATCTTTCTCTGCTGTAATCATGTCCTGAATGGTATGTTTTTAAGTATGTGACAATATGTTTAACAACTTTACCACATTTGCAATTGACTATCTTCATAATTCAGTAGGATTCACTGAATAATAAAATACCAGAAATAAGATTTAAGATCATCACTCTTCTAATTGCAAGCAGTATTAGTTAAGCGTTTGTCATGGAGAAGGAAAAGGGAAAAAAATCATAGTTACCCCAAAGACAAAATAACCAAAGTAAGTGGAGTCGGACCACTGACAAAATACTTTGGTGCCTCCCAAAACTCTTGGGATGGGATAGCACAATTATCCAACTAAATACCTAATGCATACTTGCCAACCTATTACACTAAAAAATCAGGAGATTTTTCACAATGTTAAAAAGACTTTTTAAATGATAAAATTTTAGTTTTTAATAATGAAGTAACTTTAAATAGTAACTAATTCTTAAATGCAAGCAACACAAAAATACCTTACACATAAAAAACATTTTTAATACTTGCATCGTATAAGAAAAAAAAAAAAAAAAAAGACACTTTAATCAGTTTTCATACAAATGTTATGAACAGTGGCAGATTTTGCTTTCGTATTCAGAATGTTATGAACAGTGGCAGATTCGTGCTTAGATAAACTTACAGTAATCAGAAAATGTTTCCTGTGTTGAGCAATTTTTTTTTATTTTGAGAGAAATTTGCATCAGCTTTATGCTTATATTTTTCAGTATTATTTTGAGAACTGCCAGCTGAATTGCTGAATGGTGCAGAAATTACTTTATTTTTCTCAAACCTATTTTTAACAATAGTAGTTGTAACTACATCTCCATTTACTTTAGGTATTTTATAACTTTCAATAGAGCTTTTTATCTTAACTCATTTAACTAACGAAGCATTTACTTCTTCTTTAAAAAATGCAAGAAGTGGGTTCCATTGATTGAGGATTCTAGATAAGCATTTATTTAAAGACAGCCAGCGTGTACACACGTTTCAAAATTTTTTTCATTTCAATATTATGTAGCTGTTGGAACTGTTTCAATTTTTCCTTTCTTTTTTAGAACTCCTTTCAAAATAATAATAAATATCAACAATGTGTTCATCCACATTTATTGGTAAAGAAGCTGCCCCTTTTTCAGCTGCTAAATTTAAAAGGTGACAGGTGCACTCATAATCTGCAAATCTGAATTTTCCTTTCTTAAGATACCTGCAACACCAGTCTTCAAGCCTACCATTACTGGTGCATTATCAGCACCAAGTGCTAAGCAATTATCCAGAGGGACCGCATTTTCTTTTACACTTTTAATAATTAGTTTTGTTAAAGCCTGTCAAATGTCCTTCTAAAGTGGATACAGAAAGTAAACTGCACTCAACTTCTGAAGATTCTGGATTTAAAAAAGAAGCAACAATTGGATACAGTTTTTAAATCGGTATTATTGCTTCCATCCGTAGAGAGGCAGAACGGAGCTGTTTAAATGCAATCAATAACTGAAGATATTTCTTTAACAATTGCACCTGTTTTGGTCCTTGCACTTGTGTATTTCTTAGCGATTTCACTATCGACAAACATTTTTCTAAATAAAGCTGCAGCGTATTCCGATGCATTCAGTGGCAGGTTGTGCTCCAGTAAAAATGCAAAGAACAGACATTCTGCATTAATAACTTTTTGGTCCTTTGCTTCCGAAGAAAAATTTAATTTTTGTTTCTTTTTCAAAACAGCTCATGTTGTCCTTGTATTTTTGTGTACGCACATGATTGAGAACATCTGCCCTTCCACCATGCGAAATCGAAAAATCGCAAAGACATCACAAATTTATTACATTTCCTTGAGGAAATAATGGAAGGAAAGTCAACTGTGTACGATTTTTTAAACCTACAGGAGTATTTCACCTTTCTCGCAGACATAACGAAAGATGATAATTTCTAAAACTATTTCCCGAAGGCACGTGTACTCACACGACTCAAGACAAGATAAACGAAATAACTAAAGAACATCTAAATAACAGCCTTGAGTTTGCTTTGTGCTCATTGCCTAATATATGCCAGATGACACACAGTGGAGCTCGATGTCCATTGGAGAATGACATTTCTGAATACGTATGCTCTCCCTCACAAAGCAGAAATCCTCATCTGATTCGCAAGGTTTTGTTTTAGATATAATCTAGAGAAAATTCAATTGCTTTCAGACATCCAAAATCACATTTTTGTTCATATAACGAAGTATTAAGCCAAGTTCCATAAAAATCGTGAGAAATTTTAAGAATAAGAAAAAATCGGGAAAAATATATTGTAAATCGTGTTGGCGGGAGAGTGGTCGAAAATCGGGAGAGTTGGCAACTCTGCTAATGCTAGTTAATTTGCACCTGAATTTTTGATTATAATATAATATTGTTATAATAATATTTTTAATTATAATTTTTTTAATTATAATTAAAATTATTTAATTAATATTTTTGATTATATTTTTGATTATATATGGGATAATTTGATTTTAAATTTTGAATAACTTAAAAAAATCCCTTTAATTAAATAACTATCTTAACAACCTCTACTAATAATTCAGTTCAAAAAGCCAGAATGATATAGCTTGTGTCATTTCTAAAATATACACAAGCTTTCAGTGTACAAAACTAATCCCTTCTACCTGCATGCTATGTTAAATTTGAAAAAATAAATAAACAAACATGGTAAATTCACACTGAAATTTTTAATATTTAAATTTACTTTCTCCAAAGTGATAAGAAAAAACAGTTATCTATCATTCATAAAAAAAACTTTCAATTCTTTTAACAATTTGAACATTTATTTTAATATTTTAAATCAAATACTTAATAATTTCTAAACACGTAAATTCTGGTCAAAATAATCGTTGGACTTGCTTGGTGTAAAGAATCTGTTATCTTTCATTGCAACAATTTACTGCATCAAATTTGTAGTAACTCATTCTAATTTAGATTTAAATGTTTTTAAACTATAAGGAAAGAATTAAAAAAAAGTAATTTATGATTATCCTTAAAAAATATTCATGAGTTAAATGTTTCTAAATTATAAGGAAGGAATGGGGAAAAAGTACTTGATTACAAACACACTTTTGAAAAGTATTCACAAGGCAATGCAGTATGCTGACAAAATATACAATTCATGATATCCCGAAAATGCATTTATGTGGCAATCCAGATATGCATGCATGTGAACAGATGAACACCGATTTTCAGTCATTAGTTTTTTTTTTTTTTTTTTTTTCCCCCTTCGCTCAAGTAGAAGTTTTTCTTTTAAGGAATCGTAATGAGATTGCGAAGTTTCCCGACTGATGAAAAATAAAATATTGCATTTTTTTCATAAATATGACATTCTGCCTAACAGGAAATTGCAGAAATTGGCAATGCATGAAGTTGTACTTCATTAATGATCAAAATTTATTCACCAATGAAAAATTTCTGCAATTCTCCATTTTGCTTAAGCAAAAACATATTACTTTGTATACAGGAAAAAGATTGTGTGCAATGTAAAATGTGAAATTCTCCCCCCCTTTTTTTGCTTGTTAAGAGTGTGTGAGAGAAAATATTGTTATTATAAACATGGGGAGAAAAACAGTGCCCCCCGGAAAGAAAAAAAATTATACAAGGCTTCTGAAAGGTTAAGTGTTTTATTATAGATGTTTCTTACTTTTTACTTTTTTTTCGATTTGTAATTCTTTTATGAAAATCTTAGCATGCTGCTGTTGCCTTTTGTGTACAGTACAAAGTCCGTATTCCGGACGTCCATTATCCGGAATGATCTATAATCAGGACCTCAAAGCCACAAACTTACACATATGCATTTGATGCGGGCGTACGCTACGCATGCGCATAAAGCCAGGTGTGCTTCACTATCGGAAGCACACATGCGCGCTTCAGATAGTGAAGAAAGTGACAGACGTTATTGAAAATGAAAAATTTTTGATTGACAAGTTAGTCGGTATTCTCGACACAGCAATTACAGGACTTGAACAGTGGAACTTTGTAACTGAACAAGAAATTATGTCTGTTTATAGAAGAAAGAATTAAAGAGAAAGTATTAGCATAAAAAATGAAGCAACTTAAACAACTTACATTGAAAGAAATGTTTAACAAAGTAAATAAATAGATACTAAGCTTTTTTTTTTTTTTTTTTTTTTGTAAATTTTGATACTCTTTAGATCATAACTGCTCTTTATTTCATAAATTACAGTTTCATATTTTTAATTGTATAATTTCCGCATGTTATCCTACCAGATTTAAATTGATGACCTATAATCCGGAATCGCCGAAGTCCCGACAAGTCCAGATTACGGACTTTGTACTGTATTAAGCTTGGCGAAAAATTAGTCACCAAACAATGGCCGACTTTTCAAAAAGGAGTGCAAATAATCAGAAAATACAAGACAACAATAAATGACAATTTTAACAGGGTTCATAGCAACATTTTAGTTAAAAAAAAACATTAAAAAAAATAAGAACCTGTCTAATTACATTATACACAACTGCATAACCTTAAAAGAAAAATTAGACTTGGAATTTAAAATATGAGAAGTTCAGTATTTATTAAGAGTTTGGTTTGGTTTATTTAATTATGGCAAAGCACACTAGGGCTATCTGCCTAAGGGGAGGGATGCCTTCGCGGAGTACTTTCTAAGCAATCAAAAAATTGTGGGTTTAATATTTTCAAGATAAAATATTTCAAGGACTTTTCACTGTAAGTTAAATTTTAATAAAGAATATCAGGTAAGTGAACCAAGGGGGGGGGACTAAATCTCAATGACAAAGACTGGCAAGAGAAACAACTATTTTCTTTCAGCACAAAGCAATTAAAAAGGCAGTCAAAGAAAAAAACTACTCAACTAAAGGATCTTCTTCCTGCAGAAATTAAATAATATGAATAGTAAAACCTAAACTAAGGAAAAACCAGATTAACCGTCAAATTTACATTTCAAGTTTCAAAGTAAGAACCTCGGAATACTCATCATACATAATCCAGGAGTTTTTTTTAATTGCTATCAAGAATATTCATAACAGACATCATTAGCACAGATGGGCTATTAATTTCGTTTTGGCATTTTGCATCGAGCCACTATAAATGGCGAATCACTTTTGAAACTGTTGCCCCCAAATCTTATCACCCTGTATTCTATTTAAAGAAATTAAATAATGAAGAATCTGCATAAATGTATGCATGTTTCTTGCATTGTGATAAAACAACGGCACCTAAAACCATAAAATTTTGAATGGAGTATGTCTCCACCCAAATATAGGCATCTGGAAGCCGAAATTTGGAATTTGTTTTACTATTTATTTCATATTTCGTAAAGCATTTATGACTTTTGATTAATAAACTCAATGATTTCAAAGCAAATAATGGTGTGGGGTTACCTCCCCTCCCTACATTTCTTCAGCGAATCAAGTTTTCTTCCTCATCTCATCTCTGCGTGACTGCAAAAAGAAAATTTTTTGCCTTCTGTTTTTACAAGTCTGTGTACACACTGTATTGATCGCTGAGATTTATGTTATCCTAACACTATGCATATATTTTGATTTATTAAAAGAGTTTATTTTTCTAAATGGGTGTCTAGGAGTTAATAAGACCCTAAAATGGCAGCAATGTACGGGGAAAACACATTTTTATCTTCAGCGCCAGAGACTGTGTATCATAAATTATAAAGATATGCCCTTTTAAATATTTTGCGAAACATTTTTATTTCCAGCACAGGAAACTGTGTATCAGAAATTCTAAAGACATGCTCTTTTAAATATTTTGTGATATTGCTGTTGGATTGAATTTAATGGTTTAAGTGCAAAGAACATGATATTTAATAAACAAAGGTAACACACAAAACATTAAAAAAAAAGTCCCTTTGGACTTAATATAAAATCTGAAAGCTTTCAGCCCCCCCTTGTTTTTTGCTTATTGTTGCACTTCACAAAGTTTTCGTCAAAATCTGAAGCAGTAACAAAGTTTGGGTCTGCCTGCATGAAACAGAATTTCAACAAGACTACATACACACGCGCATACATACATGATTACTGCAAGAATACAAGTTCCTAGAACTAGAAAATTTTTTATCTGCAATAAAGGCTGATATCTAGATTTCTTATTGGTTTTCAGAGGGTTACAATGCAGGCATTTTTTTTATCTTTCAAAACAGCTAGTCAGCCTTTCATGCAACATCATATTAAATTGCATAACACAGATGCCTATTATTTTGTCCACCTGCATATTCCTATGCAACTTTCACAAAACAAATTATTACAAGAAATCTTTTAATAATTATAAATCATCATACTGTATTAGGGTTTGTCAGATTTCGGGCATCAGTAAGCCAGCTACTGAGATGATTGTAAGTACTCCGCCTACAAAAAACAAATAAGGTAAGTAACAAAAATTTGGGTAATATAAATACTAGACCTTTGATCTTTTTTCAAACTAAAACATAAAAATAAAATATTTGGTTCTTACCTAGTTATGTCATATACCATAAGAGCTCCTGCTGCTCCTCTATAATAACTACGTGTCACAGCTCGAAATCTTTCTTGTCCAGCTGTATCCCAGATCTGCAATTTTATTTTTTGCCCACACACTTCGATAATTCTGGTTCCAAATTCAACTCCAATAGTATGGGGACAATCAGCCATAACTAGGAAGAAAAAAAGTTTCTCTTTATTTTTAGGTTTTTTTTTTTTTTTTTTAATTCAACTTATTTTGAGGATAACATTTCAAATACTGCAAAGTATGCAATATTTCTATCTAAAAAAAAAAAAAAAAAAAAAAAACTTTCATAAATGAAATTACTGAACAAGTTCCAATGTTTTTATAAACAAACCATGATATTTTGTGTTTGAAACTTGATTTTAAAATACTGCCTTCAATGCAAGAAACTGCGATAATGTCTGTAAGAATACAGTATTTTGCTGCAAAATCACTACAGACTATAAGTACTTATATAAATATTACAAGCATTTTTAAAGCAATCATATATCATTAAAAATATTTGAACTGTAAATGTACAGCACAAATATTTTATCACATTTATTATTATATCACAAAGTTTACACCCGAACAAAAGTCCATCACAGGTAATTTTTAGATTCAGTATTCTAGCTTCGGAACTCTAGTTCAACTAGGATATTACAGGGTGGCTAATTTAACAATTTCATCACTATAATTGGGAAACAGAATACTCATTAAGCTAAAATATTTTCCCATCGCCTTAATTCTGAAAATTTTTTATCACAAGTGTTTTATTTCTTAAATATGGTTTTTTTAGATACATTTCTTGGATATAACTACTTTGCATATTCTGTATTGCCTCCTTATGCCAATTAAATAGCACAATAAATAATGGAAATGAACTATTGCTGCTGCTAACTGAAATTGCCATAACATGAATTCCACATCTGTGGGACAGTTTAAAATTCACTTTGATGTAGCTTGCTTTGCAAATAGATGTTACATAATTCCAATTACATCCAATAAATAACTATCATTTTGTATAAAACTTGGAGTACTGCACTTTTCCTACAGCCAATTTCATAAAGTGACTATCATACAGAGGGTGTTCACACATTTTTGTAACGATTTATTTATATATAAACAAACCTTAGAATTTTATTTTCTAATATGTCTGATAGCCCTTTTGTTGAACTATCATAATACATCTTGATTTTATTCCACTCATTTTTCACAATCTTCCAATCTATCCAATGTTTTGGGATGCCGCTTGTAAGAGCTTGTTTTAAAAGTCCAAATGCACAGTAATCCATAGGAGACACACCAGAGAACTTGGATGGGATGCATTTAAAGGGTATAGCTTCAATCCCGCTTTCATTTCTCATTTTTTTCAAAAAATAAAACAGTAGATTTAGAGGTATGGCTTGAAGCCTTATCCTGATGGAACTTAGCACAGTGATGATTGTTTGGATAAAGAAACGGAATTTCTTCTTTAAAAATAGGCGTTAAAACATATTTCTGATAATAATCCGAATCGATTTTGACATTTTCTACTTTCCTTATTTCAAGTTTTTCGTTATAAGAGAATCCAGTAATTACGCCAGAGAAAATTGCCTTGGGGGGGAAGGGAAGGCCAGTTCTATTGGGCCGATTCCATGTCTCAAAAGCACAACTTAGGATATGTACTAGATTTATATATAGCATTGTTCTAATATAGGTATTCTAACACAAAATCGGATTTTTACTGAAATTACATGCAATTTTTTTCTACATTTCGATTCTAAGACTCAATTATTCCAAACTACCAAGTTTTGTAAAAATCGCACGAGTAATTTTCTAAAAAGTTAGTTCACAAAATTTTAGCTTCTCAACGTTAATTAAATTTGATATATATTTATTAACATCTCTTTTTTTATTAAACTTATTTGATTCTTCCTTTCACATTTCGAAATTTAGGTTTATTCCAAATTGTAAAAAACTCACCTATTTTTTACAATTTATTTTAAAATAATTTTTAGAAAAAAAAATTTTGAATTATAACCTACAAAAATTTTGCCATCATCTTAAAATAGATATATATCTAAGCATACATGCAAAAAAATAAGTTTTTTATTCAATATTTCCGAAGATAAATGTGAGTTTACATTTTGGCGTATTTATTATAAGTGATAATAACAAAAATGTGGTTTACGCGTTTTGTTAAAAATTATTTGAAAGCATGAGCGATGACTTTTTTCTGCTCATGGACAATGAAGAAAAAGGAAAGGAAAATAGGTTGCTATAAACTAAGTTTGGCAAGTGAATTATTCTTGTTGTAAACTGAAAAAAAAATTGCTAAGATAAATTTTTAAATTTCTCACCAAAAATTACAAAATTTAATATTTTAGGCATAATATGAGTCTTAGAATTAAAATATGGAAAAAAATCAATATGTTATTTCAGAAAAAATCCGTTTTTGTGTCAGAATACCTATGTTAGAACGAAGCTACATATAATTTAAGTCACGCTTTCGAGACATGGAAAACAAAATTTGAATTTCATCAGTAGAACGGAAGCTATAGAACCGCTCCTCTTTTTATTTTTCGCACTGTACATCTTATCTTTTCATTGTCTCGAAGCGCCATTTTGCTTCAGATTCAATGAGCTTCTGTCTCGGCACAAAATTTTCCTAATGTTATTTGTTGTTGCATGTTTCAAAATGTTTCTAACGTGAGGTATGGCACCATCATTAAAAATACTTATGCTGTAGCTTGCTGCTGCTTTATCAGGGTGAAATTATTGAGCAAAAACTTTGTATCTGACCCTATATTGCAGATTTCTTGGATCAGAAAATTAGCACCATTTTTTTTCTTCCTAAGATATTTCATTCAAAATCAGCTTTTGTTATTGCTCCTGAAGATCTTGCAGTTATTTTATGTTATGATCAGTTTTACGATCTTCAAGTAACTTCTCCACATCTTTATAGTTAACCACCAACCCGTGGTTCTGCCTATATACACAATAACATAGATAGCAGAAACAAAATACAGTTATAGATGCTCAAAGTCTTTGCCTGCAATATAATCTGGCTTTAATTTCTTCCAAGCATCATTCATAGTCCTAAGCCATTTATTGCCTGGCTTCAATAATGAGAGTTAAGAAATGGAAAATATTAAAATGCTCCCACAAGAACTTAGGTGTTAATTATGTGGTTACCTCAAAACACATCTAAAAACCACACATTGCCAATTTGAAAGTTTGTGACTCAAGGAACCATTTGACATCTGAAGTATTTTTGCTCATACACTCTGTTCGTGAATTGAGTTGTTTGTGATACAAGGTTCTACTATACACTGCATGTCGAGTGTTGCACTGAATTAATTCGCTTCAATTTTGTAAGTACTTCCAGTTTAAAAATTATCTGAAGATTTTTACAAACATTTCTTTTCAGATCTGGAGGTAAAGTAAACAATTCACTATCACAGCCAGGAAAGAGGAAATATTCAGCCTTGTACAATATTAACATTTATTCTTTACATATTGTATTATTTCCCAGATTCATGCAAAGCAGCTTCATGATTGGTCATTATTTTAGAAAGATGACAGTTTTTTACGCAATATTTTCTTTGAAACAGCTATTTTTAGCTGCTACATATTTTTGCCAGTATTCATAAAGTCATTGGAAGCATCTGGAAAAATCTATTCTTTAACTGTGATTTCAGATAATTTTTTATAATGGAAGTGTCTTTTTAACTTAGATTTGAAGCAAATAAATAAAAATAAAAAGTGATTATACAATAGTTATAAAAATATATAAAAAATTCCAATACTGTCATATCATACTTTGCTCAATAAATTTAATCATAAATTCCAATTTGAAGTCATGTGCATAATTTGAAAATATGTGCTCTTGCTGCTGTCAGAAACAAATTAATCAATATCACTTCCAAATTTTAACAATGCTTGTTCTATTTTATGTAGAAGCTAAACTTCAGGAAACATTTTGATGCTATCTTCCAACATTTAAAAAAATTTCAGGAAATGGTATAATGTGATTACAAAATTTTCACCAATATATATATATATAAAATCACTAAAATATTTACACACGATCCATTCTTCTCAGCCTATGACTCGCACTGCAACTTCTGCAGATGTGAGAAAAACAGCTTAAATTTATTCAGAGTTCCAACCAAAAGAAATCAAATTAAAGTAAAAATTATTAAATGGGACATATTAAAAAATAAAAAAATTATAAAAAGATTAATAATTACATTTCTTTTCAGTAAACTGATGCAGCAAACAAGATTTTCCAACTCCCATATCACCAATTATGATGTACTTGAAGATGTAAGAATAATTGTATGGTCCACCAGACATAATTGTAAAGATTTGAATGGACCCTGTTAATAAAAAATGACATTAGAAATATTTGAAAAATAAAACTGTTAAGAAAATTACATCATATGCATAGAACTATAACACAAATTTTCAAACAAGGGAATAAGAAACTCGCATCAGATTAATATGAAAGTGCTATATACCTTAGCATTTTAAAATTCTTCATACTAAAACCAAATTTTGAGTCATCTGTATGGCAATGCATTTGAGATTTATGATTATTTCTTAAAAATACTTATTTTGGTTGAATAAAATTAAAGGCAAAAACAACAGGAAGGTTTAGTGTGAAAAAATTATTTTAAAGGATTAAAATATTTTCCTCTTTTATTATCATTATTCTACAACCTGAAAATTTTGAACACAAACATTAAGAGTTTTGCACGTCTAAGTAATAAATGTTAGGTTCACACAGCAAACATGTAAAATATGCTAAAAGATTTAAAAAAAAAAAGTTTAATTTGAATTTAGAAATTATAAACTTATGATTGTAACTATAAACAAGTTTTTATTGTTTAAATAAGCACACTGTCAGAAACTTAATTGTATGAGCATAAAACGATACGCACGTAGTGCCTAGGCATATTAAAAAAATTGCAAAAATTTTCTGTTTGAATAAAGTTCATTTTAATTCACATATAATTGCAATGTAACAATTAAAAGATTAAACTAGACACATATTCTCATTCATCAGTAAACGACAGGAATAAATATACTGCGCATAACATATCACAGCAAAGCTCGAAATCTCTACGATAGAATCAACATTGAATTTCTTTCTTGGTTTACCTCGCATTTAATTTTTTTTCTTACTAACATTTCCTACAAATGAAATAAAATATTACAAAATCATCAGACATACTTAAAATTTTTGTAACGTGATCATTATTCCTAAATATATATATATATATATATAATCAAATTAATGAAATGAAAATTACTCCTATCAAAAGTGCAAATTTAGCTAAAACTAGATACTATTTCAATTTGAAGTCAACATCAATTCCAATCACCTATGCAATTTAAGTACCGATTCCAAGAGGTACACACAAACAAACAAACAAAAAGTAATTTTTTTTTAACTAAAATTTTGAAAAAATAATAATAATAAAATGAACATGAATGGAATAGAATAAAAAGAAAAGTTGAATGATCTTTGGATTATGGTAACTTGGCAATTTCTTGGTGAAAATTTGGCGACCAACTCTGCTACAGCAACACCTTTTTTTTTTTTTGCATGACAATTTTCTGAATTTTTAAACCCTGTAAAAAAAACATATATGAAATTACCTTATCGCGAAAAAATATATACCCTTTCCAAATATGAACATTTCCACGCATAAAATAAATAAAATATCCAAAAACTTTTTAAATTATTTATTATATTATAAACGTCACCAACGAATTCATACCACAAACATTACAAATACTTAGTGTCAAATATTTAAAATTATTTCCATGCACGTTTACTTCAACTAAAACATATACCAAATTCCTACAAACATAAAATTCACAAAATAACTATCATTTAATTAAATATCACTAAACCATGTACACGTCGACTTATTTTTACTTAAAAAAAATCCCAGAATTGCACAAAAATGGCATTGCGCCCACTTTTCACTATATCCATGTACACTGCTTTTTTCTCATAAATTAGAAAAATTTCGCGAAAATGCATGAAAATACTCAACGTATACTACTCAAACATATTCCAGAATACTACAAAACATATAACTCACAAAATCATGATCATTAAATTAAAAAACACTACTTCAAATATAAATAAGCACATACATTAAATTAATAAAAATTAGATTACAATCCTAATTACTTTAAACTAAATCACTGTTAATAACAATTTTCAAATAATACTATTTTAATTTATTTACTCCTTACATTTAGAACAATGCATAAAAATAATATCCTCAAATGATTAAAAATACTAACTTACCTAATCTTCTTCAGAATCTTCATTACGTCGCTGCAGTACTACTGCTAATTTCTAAATCCTAAATCCAGTAGTCAACTGGAAGTCTATTCACCAAGTAATAAGAAATTTAAAAAATTTCACCTATACTCAAGCTACTTTCAGCAAACCACGTACCGTTCCTTACACTCCTTTTCACAAAATGTCCATTTCCACCATATTTCTTGCACCGCCATTTAAACTTGTAATATCCTTCCTTTCACACAATCTCAACTTATTATTATTATCAGATAAACACATTAAAAATTTACAATTCACTTTACATAGCGCCATGCAATCCGAAAATTAATCAACACTATTTCACACAACACACAATGAAGCTTTTCCAAATTAACCCCTTTTTCCGATTAAAGAACTGTAATTCGTCCATTAATGTCACGTTTCATACAACCCAGAATATAGCTAAATACGAAATTTTCAGATTTCCTCCCTTTTCCGATTAAACAACTGTAATTCGTCCATTAATGTCACATGACATATCTCATGATCTCTCATTTCCCTCACACAAAACAATACGTAATCGGAAGTGAGTGCTTCTCACATTATTACCAAAGTCCTAGGTAGTAACTTTATCGCCTCCCAAATGTCGCCAAACTACCAGTTACCATATTTCAAAGATCAGCCAAAAAGTTGTCTATCAAGCAATAGCTAATAGTAGTAGTAAAGCAAATTCAATTAAAAGGAAAATTAAATGAAAATTTTAGAATAATTATAGAAAAATGAATAACTGAAAAGCCAGTGAGATGATGCCAACTCATCCGGGAAAATCAGTTTTTATATACGTACATCTTAATAATCAACGTACCAAAAAAGTTTTAGTTTTGATTAAAGTTACACAGTTCCATCTTGGATTATGATAATAATGTATAACACACTTGAGCCACCTTCAATTCAGGTTAATTCAAGATACACTAGCAAATTACAACACAGAAAATGAATATGCAAATGAAAATATTAGAAACATTATACGTGCAATTAATTATTGCTTTTTCTTAATTCATTTTTACTAATTTTTGATTTAACTGCAAATAAGAGTTTATTTGTGCTTTATTTATAATCTACATTAGCTGTTTTGGTTCTGTATGTCTTGATGAACAGTGAAAAAACGTTTTTCTACCACAGATATTAATGAATGCACTATGATAAAAAGCTGCTGCCATAGCTATTTTGAATTAGAACGAAAATTCTAATTGCACAGCATTGAGGCAGCCTAAAGCTCTACAGCTAAAATACTAATTTCCATTTTCTCATTTCATAACACAGAGAAAAATTGCATCATTACTGCAAATTAATACTCAAAAAAAGAAGGTGGGTGAAAATATATAAAAAAACTTTCACATAGTGCTGTCATTAATTCTGAAAAGAAATTCATTTTGCTTACGCTACAAAAAGCAAAAAGCACTGCAAATTTTACCTAAATATGCCCAACAGATAAGCAGCAGAAAAAGTGTTTGCACTTTATCAGATGACACACCATTTCTGGTTTAAAACAATAACAACCAGTAACAATAATTCTCGAACAAGAGAATAAGTTAGACAATAATTAGCTCATTCTACTATGTCTGATAAAAAAATTATGTTTTAAGCTTGTTACATGTATCTTAAATCTTATGGTTTTTGAATTGATGAACAGTGAAAATACGTTATACTTTTTGTAAAATATTACCTCACTGCATGCACTTTCCTGTCAACATGTATAGCTTCAAATGAAAATTACACATATTTTCATAGTATGTTTTAATCATTACAGTGACATAAGGATGAGTTCTAAATATCAAACAATCATGTAAATTAGAGCTTAAGAGTTTAATACCTAAATCCCAGCCACTGATAAGAAAGCTTAAATATAATTTTCTAACTTTTAATTTTTGGGTGTTTCAATCAGAGTTACCGTATTTAGTTTCTCTTAATGACTTATAAGAGCAATCTACAACAGAAAAATTAATTAATCATTTAAAAAAAATAAAGAGGGTAAGATGAAAATAAAAATTCACAAATCCATGCAACCACTCCTTATACCACAAGCAAGCACCATTTCATAATGAAAAGATACTTGACACTAATTTGCATATCACTGCACACAATTCATATACATGTATATCTGTTTCCACACGTAAGCACAGCCCTAAATAAGTTAAAATTCTGATCAAATTAAGATTCCTGCATAACACATTCCTAGAAATTTTACACACCACATTTTAGCTTGAAAATTTTCAATAAATTGCTGGTTTTTAATTATAATTACTTAGCTTAGAATTTAGAAATTGTACATACAGTCTATGCAAAATGTTCTGATGTTTTATTAATATGGCCAATTTTTCTTCATTCAGCTCAGTTATTTGTTTGCCTAATATATTAAAACAGCTTATAATTTAAGAATTTCTGAAGATCCCAATGAGTTATTGTTCATGCTCATGCCACAAGGCATTGCATTATTAACCCATTTGTGCCTAGTGCTAGTAAATACAATATATATATATATATATATTCTGTATTTAAAATATCTAATATAAGTTATATATAATTTATTTCATCTAAATCATATCTTTGATTCTAACATCTCTAATTCTAAATATCAATACTCTGTTGAAATGGAACACAAACATTATTATACTTATGAACTTGAACACTGATTCATAGACTCAAACTTGATCTTAAAATTCCTGTACATCAATAGTTTTGTATGACATACAAAAAGAAAAGGGAAATCCTCATTTTAAGGGAGAAGCAGCACTCATCTACTTTCTTCTAATGCCCTAATACGTATGAATGAATACAACTCTCTTGTTGCCAATCAGCAAAGTGAAACTCTTAAAAGCTCCTGACAGTCATACGACTTTGGTCAATAAAACAAAAAATACTCACTTTGGGTAGAGTAGACTTTAACCCATTAGCCGCTGGTGTTGCGTTGAAGCAACTGTCAAAATAAATGCGTATATAAATATAACTACATAAGATATTTTATACCAGCAGATGATTTTGTGTAGGGAATATTATGACGATTATTTCTGTGAAAATATATTTGCCTTCAACAATCATTTTGTTTATAATAATTAATCTCATATTTTAAGCAAAATTTTCAACCGGGTATTTTTGCTGAAAATATTTAAAGAAAGAATCCCTGTCTTTATGAGTGATCTATTTTTAGTCAAGGTCATCGTTTATCAGAACATTACATCAATCAGATGTTTATATTTGTGTTGGGAAGGAAGGGAAAACAGGTGTTGTGTTGACGCAACGTCAGCAGGAAACGGGTAGTCAATCTCCTTTTTCACTCATTCCTTTCGATGTTCCGGTTGTTTAAAAATGCCTAGAACAAGGTATCTTACATTAGAAGAAGCCTTTCAAAGATTTTTTGATGAAGAAACAGATGATAATGTTAATAATGACCAGAATGAAACTGATATCGTTGTTGTTCCCCCAGAAATTGCAGAGGCTAATGTCGAAGAAGAAAGGAATGGCAATGTTTGAAATACTGATAATGATATTTTACCAAATGATACTGCTGGGGAAGTTGAAATTCATGTAAGAAGTATGTTTCAGCCTTCTAAAAGCAGTCATAGTCATACTAAAAAGTTTAAAAAGCAGAAGACTGAAATCTTGAAGTGGATAAAAATGGAACTGTTAGTTATGTCTCAGGAAGAACATTAAGAAAGAGATAGAAGAGAAATTATAAAAGACAAAATACAAGGTAAAACTAGTGCACAGATTTTCGATTTTCTTTTTGGTTTAGACATTTGCTCTCTTCTCGTTCAACAGACAAATATACACGCTCAGCACACACACACAAAAAAGCCCAGAATTTATTGCATCTGAAGCCTATACGAGAAGATTTATTGGAATATTATTCCTTACAGGATATCATTCTTTACCTCAAGAAAATATGCATTGGTCCTTTAATAAGGACATTTCTGTTCTATGAGAATTGATATCACATTTGCAGTACAGGAATATATGAAGCAGAATTTGCATTTGACAATAGTCAAATTGACAATACTGATAAATTATATGAGGTGAGACCGTATCTAAACTTACTAAATATTACCACTTTTTACTACTGGAAATATAAAGTCTCTTTTAGATTTCATATGCGAGAATGCATTATTTCTTTTGCAAACTCCTATTGAGAGTGTAGAATTAGCCAGAAATAGATCAGCAACAGGAAGACCTAGTAAATTCAGCATTCAAAAACCATTGCTTGGAGATGGTAGCCATTTTATCGTAAAGTCCTTTGATAACAAAAGACTTTGTTGTAAAGAGCACCATAGCCAGACTGTTTATAGATGCAAAGTATGTAATGTAGCTATACATCATGATTGTAATCAAGCTTTTCATGCTTGAATCTTTCAAATGAAATAATCTGCATTTGTAAAAGAAATACAATGTATATTTTAATATTAAATTAATTATAAGTAAAGTGATTTGTAGATTTATAAAACGTTATACTGCTAAAAAGTAATCCTGCGCTCCACTCAAAAGAAACATCACACGAGTACAATCCTACTCGCTAAACATCCATACTCTTTTTCCGCTGACGTTGCGCGAACGCAACACTCGCTTTTTCCACAGGTAAGAGCATTTTTTAAAATTTCAATGTAAATTTATGTTATAAATGTTTAATTTAATATTTGTTATTATTTTCATGAGAAAAGAAACATTCCTTGTAGTTTTGGTGGTTAATGGGTTAAGGTACCCCTTGTATTATGGCGAAGTTGTTATTTAATTTATCGCCAAGTTGTTGTTTCATTTATGGTAGCCTGAGTAGTTGAATATTATGGAAACATTATTGTGATGTAATTGGGTGCATGAATCTGGGAAATTTTGTAAGCATTTTTGTGGTGTGTGTTGGTTTGATTCTTTAGAAGGTAGAATGACCGAATGTAGTAAGATTAATTTGAAGTGTCTGTACGATTTGGAGCGAAAGAGGAAAAGAGCTGACTGGTGTGTAAATGAAGGTTTACTTAGTAGCCATTATAAGTGTCCTATATGTAGGAAGGATATGCGTCTAGTAGAACGTAAAAACCGTTTAGATGGATTTGAATGGGTTTGTAGGAAAAAAGGTTCAGATGGTCACTATGTGAAGCATTCGATCAGAAAGAGTACCTGGTGTGGAAAAAGTCATTTGAGTATGATTGATATTTTGATTTTTACGTGGCTCTGGGTGTACGAAGCGAACTCGAAAATCATGGTAAGTGAATATTTGCTTTTGGTAGTGCTTAAATGTATAACATGTTTTTCTGATTGATCTTTAGATTATGGTAACTTGGCGATTTTTTGGCGACCAACTCTTCTACAGCAACCCTCTATTTTTTTTTTCCCCGCCGCCATTTTGTCTTCGCGAAGTAAAGACATGTTTCTTTTCTTTTTATCTACTGAACACTTTTTCCAACAATCTACTAGCCAAATTACACTTATACTAGAAATTTTATCTAACAAAACAGCTTAATCATGACAAATATTCACTGCAAAATTGGGAAAAAGTGCACAAACGCAAACTCCTTGCGCGTTTTTCACAATAACACATACACATAAACCATGTACACGTAAACTTATTTTTACTTAAAAAAACATACATATTAACATTACCGGGATCGGGTTCAGAAATGCATGCACGTACAGGTGTATGTGAATATATTATGTGTACACGTGCATACATACCTATATTTCTGAATCTGATCCCAACAACAGAAGAGTAACTACAAGACTCATTACCTCATTAGCCTGAAAGTTCATTTAGTTTTTAGTTTATGTTCATTTCCAAAATGACCGAGCAACAAAAGTAGAAGCAATATATACATACCAAATTTCTGCAATCTTCAAACCTTTGCTTTCATACAAAATATGACTAATATTACAAAAAAAAAAAAAAAAAAAAAAAAAGAGAGAGAGAGAGAACTGTTGAAAGTTTTAATTTTAGCTCACAGCAGAACTTTCACACCTCATAACAGATGCAAGGTGAAAAGTTTTTATTTGATATCCATATACAACAAATTATTGCCTTCAGTTGATAACATCAGAATTTTCTTATATTTCATATGTTAGTTTTTTATAACATATTTCCATTAATGTCATTTTTAATACCTAAAATCAGAAAAATATTTAATATGATAGTTTGGAATGACTTGTACACGAAGCAACCAGCTTTCCAGTCATCTTTATAATGCACATTGTAATTTGATGGTATTTAAAATCTTTAATTTTTCATAGATTAAGACTTTATGCAAAAGAACCAATACATAGTAAATGTCTGACAAATTTAAAATTCTTAAACTCTCAGTGAAATACGATACTTCTATACCAGTTTATTACTAATGACATCATCAGCTAAATATTCAGAGTAACATATGTTTTGAAAGAGATGGAGGAACTTGCTATAGACAAGTGAAATGGCATTAATTATAAAGAAACTGAATGACAGATGACATGTTCATCATGCATTCAAAACTCTATCATAGAATGATTAAAGTATTTTTTTTTTTTTTAATATTTCCTTGAAGAGAGTTAAATTGATTTATATAATAGACATTTAAAAAGTATAAGATAAAAACTAATTCATAAATCCAGAAATTTCCCAATTAATTAACAAATGAATTGTGAGTTTGCCTAATTATGACAAAATTAATGCACATTAACTTCACTAACAAAGGTTATCTTTAATGGTGTATTTCTAACCAGTAGTTTCCACTTTTAAAAGTACAATTAAATTATAAAACTTGCACTTTTCCTTCAATATGTTAAGAAAATTATTTCAAATAAAATTAACAAAAGATATAACGTGAAAAGATAAATTACAATATTAAATGAAAATGGATTTTGAAATGTAACACACAAAATAATACAGAAATCTCATTAACATTAAACGTAACTAAACAGATTTGATCATATTTTTAAAGATAACAAAGTAGGTCCCATTGTTTTCAAACTTAAATATTTATTTTTAAAAAGAAAATGACATCAGATTGTGAATCAATACTTTGTCAAGTTTTACGTCTTTCATAAGGAAGTATCGTAATTAACGCTTTTATCCATACCCTTTTATAAAATTTAAAAAAAAAAAAAAAAAAAAACAATAAAGGTAAAAAAGTCATGAAAAACTTCGAAAAGGGCAATGCAATATTTTCTTTCAAAACTTGAATTTTAAGTTGGAATTGTGTTTGTTTCCTCGATTATCAATACTGACAGAAATAGAAACCTGCATAAGAGATATACGTCAAATAAAAACATTCACTTAATTAAAGGAAAGTAACACAGTAAAATGTTTAAAAATTGTTATGAAACTCACAGCAACAATAATCAATCAAGATGAATCTAAAATAAGCAAGAAATTCGTCTATATACTCCACAAGATTTCTGCCTTAACAGATGATACGAAACTTTCAACTGCAAGATGGCCACCCCTTTAGACAAAATCGATGCCAAAAACCTATTTTGTAAACAGTTATAAAATTAATTGACAATTAAGACTATTATTTTTTATCATTTTCTTACAACATTTTTAGATAACATAATGTATGCAATAATTCCAAGAGATCAAAAAAGAATTCTTCTTCGAATTAATTCTCTGAACATTACCCATTTTTTTAAATACACAAGCAAATAATTTATAAATTTTAATTTCAAATTAATTTGTCATAGAATTCTTCGAAATGGTAAAATTTTCTCCGGTATTGATTTTAGTCATTTCTACAATAAGTCCCGTTGTTTAAGAAACCTGTATACTGAAACTTTAGAGCACATCTTGGCATAATGCCACACAACACTTTAAAGGCATAATGGAAAATGAAACAATATCAGGATTAAATTAAACATGTAGACATTCAACCTAAAAAAGCAGCTGTGGTGATACTATAAAGGATATCTCTAGTTTGACCGAAGGGTCATCTGTTGCCCTCCAACGAAATAGCTAACAATTCGGGACATAACTAAACTTTAGCTTTCAATAGGGAGGCTTCTGGTTAAAGAGGTACTGGCCAGGCTCATTACTCTTTATCCCTTGGAACTTAGACTGCCTAAGTACAGATCCTTCCAGTACAATAAAGGACTATCGGAGTAGAATAAAACGCTCTTGTTGAACTTCTTCCAAGGATAAAACAGGCTATAAAAATTTAACATTCTACAGCAATCACAGCACGGGATTTAACGAATGCGATTTATAAACGGAGATCGGAGATTATCATTCGTTAAGTGGTGTTCGACCGAAGGCCTTTACCACTACATGTTTATCATTTCCCTAAGGACCTCTAAAAGTTCGTTAAATTTCATAAAAATGGAAAAATCCTGTTTACTTATAATAAAAGTGCAAAGTCTTCAGTAGCGAAGTTGATCAGGCGTTTCGCCATCTATCGGCCACAGATGAAGTCTTCGTTGGATAAGCAATAATAGCAAATAATAACTTCGGCATATCTTTTCACAATGGCATATCTTTTACACATTATTGTAGATTTCATACAGTATTGTACAGTAAAAATAGAAAATAATATATACAGGTCCCAGATATTTTTGTGCTTTCTTCTGAGGCGAAAATACCTATAATACTCATAGGAAAGCAGACTGTCACGTAATATAAAGTCAGTAGCCTTGGAATCCATAATAAGATGAAAATGATGATAAAGATGAAACAAAATTTAGTTTAAATAGTTGAAAATAATAAAATATATACGCGATTTACAAACATGCTACCAGTGAGATAGGTTTCGTGGTAAACACAGTTTCATTTCTTTACTTGACTTCTGCTCATAATTATTTTTAACTACACTACTTAATTTTTGTTCTTTTCTAAACCCTAATTTTTATCCGGTCTTTAACAAATTTCGTATCTCTATCACAAATTTATATTTACTGTGCACTGAATTCTCCTTTTCTGCATGTCTAGCCTTCACGCCTATGGTAGAAAGATTAATTGGTTGCAAAACAAGTTTGTTTTTGTGTTTTATGTGGCGGTGGCGAAGTAAACGTGTGGTAAACTGTTGTATGAAGGTCGAATTTATGATATATATATATTTCACAACTCTTGACTGTATCAGTGTTCTCAAGAAAAATCCATGTGTTGACCTGCAGCATACAACGTGTGAATTAATTCACTTACTAAAACTGTATTGAAAATCGAAAACCTATGTACTGATCAAGCAGAAGAAATTAATGTGTCTATGATAAATACGTTACTTCTTGAGATTGTCAGCCACTATCTAATAACAGTAAAAGATCTGAAACTTTATGCAATGTAACATATATATTATCAAAATTAAAAACTATATATGTACTTGGATAAGAAATCATATTTATGCAAAATGTAGCAAATTAACCTTTAATTAACTGCTGCTGAAAATCATGATGTGTTTAATCATACCACGGACAACTGCTTTATAACCCTAGGAAACCGAAACTTGATCTAATATAGCATATATGTTATCGTTGCATAAATTCATAACTCGGAACTGTATATATACTTGGATAGGAAATCATATTTCTGAATAGGCCCACCAGCGGCCGAGTGGTAAAGTTGCTGAACTCTGGTAGTTTGGTCCGAGGTTCGAATCCAGCGAACGGGCTGGCTGCATGGGTGTTTTATTGGTTTCCCCATGTGTAACGTGTATACGAGCCAATTTCCCTTAGGAAGTCCTCCACGAAGGCATCCCTTCCCTTAGGCAGATAGCCCTAGTGTGCTTTGCCATAATTAAATACACCACACCACATCACCATATTTCTGAATAAGACTATCCTTTAGCATAGCCCACCTAGAAATTTTACCAAAAAATATCGGCAAGCTTTGCGATAAATGATAGGATGGGGCAACCATACCAATATATGAGCATGCGATAACCCCTCAGACATCGTAGAGTTAGCGTACTGTTTCGGAGGTGAAATTTTTGCATTTAGTTATAGCTTGCATTAAATCTGCTGTTAGTGATATTGTAATTAAGTATCAGGAGATCTTAAAGAGAAATTTAAGGTGGGCGTTTTCAGATAAGCGTAAAAATTTGGGAAAGCCGACATTCCAAATAGATATTTTATTGTGTGAATTAACAAGCAAGTATGAACATTTTAGAAGATTTTTGATTGGATAGAGTTTGTTGTGAAAAATGTAAGATACCATGTGGATTAGATAGTCGGAAAAAGTCATTGAATGGGAGTATTTGGAGATGCAATAAGTGTAGGGCTGAGAAATCAATTAGGCTAGGATATAGGTTCACCTGTAGTAAGCTTAATTTATGGAAATATTTTTTAACATAGGAATTAATTAAGGGTATGGTGTCTTGTGATATCGAAGAGGATTTTGGCTTTTCTTCATTGATTTTAGCAGATTGGCATCAGTTCATTGATGAGCAAGTGTTAGGTCATGTTGAATTGACGTCAAATAAAATTAGTGGGGTAGGCAAATTTGTGGAAGTAGACGAATCAAAATTTGGTGAAAGGAAGTACAGCAGAGGGCATTACGTTGAAAGTCAGTGAGTTTTTGGAGGAGTAGAATATGATTCAGGAAAGGTGTTTTTGGTAGCTGTTCATGAGTGGAGTTAGAAAGTTTAATTGCATTAATTAAACAACAGATAGAGCCAGATACTACTATTATTTTGGATTTTTGGAAAGGTTATAATCATGATGTATTGACTAAGGAAGGATTTAATCATTTAACTCTTAATCATTCACTTAATTTTGTTGACCCAAGTATGGGCACTGACACCAATATAATCGAAAGCACGTAAAAACACGTTTTCCAGCATATAATAGGCAAAAATGATGCGTCTTTCTAGTTGGGTACGTATATGTTTGAAAAAGTTGTTACGGAAAGGAACTTGATTTGTGCAATGCATTTTTTGAGATTATAAGGGATGTAGATTGGGAAAATTTTATCTATAACCTTTAGAGTATTTTCGTTGCTAAGGAAAAAAGAAAAAAAAAAGAAATAAAAAATAAAACCAAACCAAAATTACAATTATTTAAAAAAAAGTGTATAAAAAGAATGAAAAAAAAAATTATTAAAATCGGGGGAAAAAAGTTTTAAAAAATTCTCAAAATGTAACTAAGATAGTAAAAAATGCCCATAAAACTTAAGTTGTAGGTAAGATAGTAAAAAAAAATGTCCATAAACTTGTAATATAAGTGTATACATAATCAACCATTATAATAGTTTTTTATACATTTTATACATAATCAACCATTATAATAGTTTTTTATACACTTATATTACGTACCATGGAATGACATGTGAAACAGGGTCCTCCCCCATCTGGAAACTGCGCATTAAATATGATTACACAGGCTAATCATTTCACAGTTTTATTTTTTTGTTTTCCGGGGGGGGATCTCATAAAATTCTGTTTTTTTCTCTTTATATCCCAGTATTTGTAGTTAAAATTATTTGTTTATAAAGATTTTCAGAATTTTTGTTAAAATTACATCCTTTTAATCTTAATCATTTTCATTAACCAATCCGGTACTTTTCCATTTCGCCGGCACAAATCTCGCCAAGCAGATTTTATTGGCGACACGATACAGTATACACATAAAAAATGTTAACAAATGTTAGTTCTAAGAATTTTTTATTTTAAAGGCATAAAGATTTAATATCGTTTAAATTTTATAAAAAGCGAATAAATAAGAAAAAAATTTGTAAAAAAGACATTAATTTAAGAATTTACTATGGTTTCATGGTTCAACATCCTGATTCGCCGGTTCATATCACATGACCCCAACTGATCTCATCTCACGTAAACTATGCTACAAAAATCTAATTCTCAATAATTATTTACATTAATTTCAAGTTAAATCTTAATTTGGAATGCAAGAATTATTTCAGTTTGTCTTAATAGCTTACTCAGAAATTATGTAAAACCACAATGCTTTACTTAGCTAGTGCATTCTCATTAGAATTCATGAATTTAACCCTTGACTTTGCCTTTCCTATATTTTCGCCTTCGTGTGAGTGGTGTGATTGCATCCTAATTGACTTAATAACCACGAATGGTCTTAGGGCATAAAACTGAGCTATCTGGTAAAAATTTTATGTACATAGAACCTATTAGAAAAGTACCTATTATTCTATTTTTGGTTTTCACATAAAATTTTTTTCCGGAATGTAATGTTAAATCCTTAATTTGCTTCAGATATCAGAATGATCATTTCAATGTGCACATAATTTCTACTTTTATGGATGACCTTATCAAAGAACTCATTTATTATCACATAAAATCTAAAAATGACGCATTTAGGATATTTGTTTTATTTTATTATTCATGCTTCTTAGATAAAAATGGTACTTTTCTGTTTTCCCTGTGAGAATGGCCTTAGGGCATAAAATTGAGCTATCTGGTAAAAATTCTATGTAATTAATGCCAGTATTGAAAGAAACAATCAATCTGATAAGAAATGGCTGTGATTTGTTTTGAAAATGAGGCATAAAAGGTTACCTGAGAGGATATT